CAACGGGCGAATATACTTGCACCACTGTGACCGATTTCTGGCCACGTCACCAAGATACCTCGGTCACTGATTTCTATCATCTCAGGGACCCAGCTAGTTAGTCTACACCTACCCATATACCTCAGACCAACAGTCAGAGACTTCGCCAACTGGTACCACGTCTTGGGTTGGCCAGCCTGAACCCTCTTCCAACCCAATCCAACTTCCACTAGCACGGCACATCACGGTAGGTGGTGTCTTGGCATCCACAGTACAGGATGGAACGAACCGCGGTACAATATACCCGTCGTTTAATAGGATATCTCCCCAGTCAGCGCCACAGATGATACAAGTTGTCAAATGCCAAACAGATCTCTGTTTCCACCCTGAGACCTCCTCAGTCACCAGCTCATTTGGGCTGATGTAACTCCCCAAGTAAGTGAAGTGGTCGATGCATTCAACCACTTCATTCTCTATCCCTAGACTAGAAGTAGGCGCAGACCGCTTCGAAAGCATAATCTTATATTTGACAGGTGCTGATTTATTTATGGATGCTTCAAATAAATACTAATAGCAGGTGGTTAATTGTGACTTCCTAAGAGTTTTTCTGAGAACGACTGACCTTCTAAACTCTTATACAAACAACAAAATTAAGATAAGAAAATAACCCTGTCAGGTCTTTTTTAGTAAACCCTTAACCTTTAAAGAGTAGCTATAGCGAGTTCTTATAGCCTTATTTATACACAAGCTGAATGACTGCACATGTTTACCAGACTCAGCATAATATATGGATTCGGAGAAAAGCAACACAGCTGATGAACGATATGATAATGAATGTCTTAGATTAATGTTTTGATTTTTACTGAGAAAATCACACTTACAAAGTGAATCATGCAACTTGTGGCAAGTTCCATGTTCATTTGTTTATCCACCCAGAAATGAATTTTTAAATAGTAATCTTAGAACGAAAAAGCCTAAAAAGGATTATTCAACTACATGGATAAGAAAAGTGTATCGATAACGGAACACACATCACCTTTGGAAAAACTGCACTACAATAGGCTAGATTCATACCAGAGACACAGTATTTCCGTTAAACAAACACGTAGTATTTGAAAGAACATTTACTGAAATAATGTATTTCAAGTGGGATTGGCTTTTTTCAGCTGCATTCTTTCGAGGAGCTTAAAACTATTTTAGAATAGCTTGTTTTAAGTGAGTGCTCAAGGTAATTCTGGAGGTTGCCCCCTCAGATCTCATATCATTTAAGAACTGATGAAATATTATAGGGCGATTGTACAAAATGGTCATAATTATCCGATAAACAACATCTCTATGACTTTATTAAAAAAAAAGCAATGAAACGAATTGTTGGACAGTATGAGAATTCAACGTATTCGTCATTTAAAAGGTTAGTTAATGGACCAATGTAGACAACCCTCATTTATTATATGGTTTGAAGCATGTTAAAAATGCAATTAAATCTGTATAGTCTCTCTAAGCTAGTGTACTTGTTCATCAGACTATTGACTGCAGAAAGCTGCTACCTTAGGTTACAATAAGCTAACGTATATGATAGAAAGCTATCATGTGATACATTTGATGACATAAGTCAAAGTTAATTAGTTTCGATGATTAACTAGAATATTTTTAACTTCATAGTGAAAAAGTCAAGTATATCATTGAGTTTATTCATCTGTAATTTCTGGTTTTTATGTATCTTTAGACGTTTATCACTATCTCTATTGACTTCACCGAATGTTCTCATTAATGTGTAAGCCAGTTAAGTAACAATAACTGATTCGGCATTTTTTCGAATTATAGTTGTCTAAGCCACTTGACTGAATGCATCCATAACGCTTCAGTTGAGCGACTTACAGATATGAAAAATATCATCTAAAGACTTACAGTTGTATAATTCGATGTTATCGGTCTTTGACGATGACTCCAATTGATACAAATTCTAATTTCAAGGGAATGATAAGTTTTATCAATGTTTTAGATATACCTTGTTGACAAGTGTCTAAAAGCATAAAACCTAGGTTCAAGGTCTCATGATAACTAGTTTTGAAAGTGTTGCAAGGGGAAAACTGCGTCATTTTGCTAGTGGACACGTTGCACATTCAATCGAAAAACTTCGATCATTACTTGAGACTTACTCTCTATATTAGTTGCCACTTATTAAGTGATTTGAGAATAAAATTCACTGACTAAAAAGTCAGATAGTGGTATGACAAATCTCATTAACCATAAACAACGAGACGATAGCAAGTTTCTTTATCTAAATAGTTTAGTTAAATCTAGGATGATGCTTCCAGAAATCAAAAAAGGCCTTATGTTATGCAAAAGTCTGCAATACAAACTAAGTTTTAGCCTCACTGATCCTAAAATGACACTTCTAATGGAGTTTATTTTTAGTTGCTTTCTAATTTGTCCCACTTGGAATCACAAAGGAGAGAAAATAGAATAAAGTTTCTCTAATTCAGGTAAAAATCCCTGTCACTTTTCAAACGACTTCTGGATACCTATATATATATATATATATATATATATATATATATATATATATATATATATATATATATATATATATATAATTTCAAATAATCAGGAAGACATCTGTCTTATATAAAATGAACACTTAAGAATTTCTGTACTGTCTCCTATTATTAATGCGTATAGGTTCCAAAGTTAATTTGTTTCTGGAAAACTGCAACTATATATTTGTTCTAGACATTACATTCCAAATATTTTTTCTTAAAACTGTGGTTCATTGGCTTAAGCACTTGGTTTTCAACCAATTGAGCCCGGGTTCGAACTCCGCTTCACTTAGCGAGGTAGGCAGATAGTGACGTTAGCCTCATACAAAAGCTGTGGTCCATTTTCTATTGCAATAAGGTGCACGAGGTTAATGAGCTGAATTTCTATTATTTTCGATTAGTGAATAGAAACTAAAATCTCAAATGCATACTGAGTTTGGTAACGAAAGTCTTTCCACAAACCTGCTTGTAGGGCGTTTAGATAACCAATGACTATTCTCTTAACGTTAGCATATGTACAAAAAAATATCGTGATGAACTTTGATCATGTTTTGACACTAAAATCCCTAACACTTAGTGTATTGCTGTTTTCATGTGAATTGTCTTCGGAGACGAGATAACCTAATAGCGATGCCAGCAGCCACTTTTCAGCTACCTTTATACATGACTTTTAAGTCTAATTTGTCGGGCAGTTGAAGATAGATCCCACTCTCATAATCACAAATCTCTGAAATTTTAAAAGCACTTTTCACTTCTACTGCGATCAGTACTATTTTAGTTGTAAGCGTTGTTGAGCATTCTCAGAAAAGTATTTAAACGTAACCATAAAAGGATGGCTAATGTTTCATATTGATTAAAGATTGGAAGTTCGTGTTTTCATACACACTTGCTTCAACAGTCTCCTAGCATCACAAATGAATTTAAAAACAGAGTGAACAAAGATCGAAATTGATCACACTATCATGGGGAATTGGTTATACTGTGCTCATCGATTACTCATTTCAGGTAATAATACAGATGAATAACTTATAGTTTCCATAGATGAAAGGAGTCTGATGGTTTTCAAGTCAAGGTTTAGTTCTTGTTAGTTCAACGGTGCAGAGTCGCCACTATGAAATACTCAAATCACTTGATATGAGAGTAAAACTAGGGCACTGTGGTAGAATGTAATTCCAAGATGATTGTGAACAAAAGATTATGTCCGAAGTTTAATCCAGTAAACAGCACTTCATCTGCGTCATAAATCAAATACATCAACTAAAATGGAACTTAAATCACTTGCCCTAACTTTACTTGATAAAATCTATTTACTAAATAATGATAATAATGGTGTTAATAATCACTTTATTTTAGACAGTACTACATGTAATTTGGAATTCATCTTGCAGGTATCATCTAAGCCAATGTAATGTAATTGAAAAAATCCAAGGGCTCAGAGAAAGAAAGAGACCTTCAAAAGTACAGTGACATTATTTCCTCGGGTTTGGTATTGAAAATCAGTAATCCCTACCTTGTATTATGAATAAACAACAAATTACTGGATTTCCGTAATAGGAGCTGACAGTGCGCCTGTTATTTTTTTTTAAGTCAGACAAACTGGTAAAACAATAGCGGCAAACGATGTGCAAGGTCTGCTTTAATATTATGAAACCCTCGACAAGCATCGGAAGGTTTACTACCATGGGTTTTGCTTTCATATTCAAAACGTTCGGTTATTATTGAGAATATTCTTTATTTCAAAACGTATTAGCAAAGTTAGTTAGCAACTTCACATGTAAAAGGTATTATCTACTGAAAATAAGCCAGAATTTCGTAAGCAAAGGCTTTGAAATATTGCTGACTATTAACTAAGGATATTTTTCTGTCACTACAGCTTGATTTTAATGACAAATTATTAGAGTTTAACTTATTAATCTCAATATAAATAAAATTTGGTGGTTGATGAACGACTAATACACCTGTATATCTATGTTAGGAGATGTACATAGGAGAGACCAGAGCTTCATTTGACAGTAACTAAGCCGTCATAAAGATAAACGCTGACTAGCATTATGGCAAGTACTTGTATCTTTGCTATTTGCATTACCATATGGAGATGTCTTCACGCACAGTGACAATCATAGACAAATTGTCAGTGATGGCTCTACGCCAGGAAAACTAGGGTAGATTTCGAAACCCTAACACGACGGTGTTTATTTCTTTGAAAACTTACTGGTTTTACTGTTACCTAGCAAGAGTAAGTGAAATAAAATGGCATGCCAACTTTGTGGTGGAAAATAACTAGCACCAAAGTGGACTCAGTTATTTCCTTAAGAACGTATCTAATACTATAAAAGTCAACCCAAAGTGTTTGCCGCCAGCACAAACAAAAATAAAAACCCGTTAAAAAACCACACTTCACAACAATACAGTAAGCCCAGTTCTAACGTATTAGAACTAATTTATTAATATCATTTTTAACCACAGGAATTCAAAACATACTTGCAATCATTGTATTAGCCATCCGAGTGAAAGATGTGGCTTACAGTTGGTTGCCAAGGTCAACATCATTTATACTCATAAATTTGCGTAAATAACAAGTGTCAAGGTCTGTGAAGGTAAGAAGAAAAACAACTTTCTCAGTTGCAGGCAAAATAAATCAGGTGATTCCTCTAGATCTTTGCGAAATGAAAGTACATGGGCAGATAGTAAAATCCCGAAATCATCAACTGTTACCACAAATTGTTGGCTGTTAATTTTGAGACCAGAGGATCTGCTAGTACTTAATCTGTGGTGAGTAGTGGAATCCAGCACCGATAAATAAAGCATCTTCCATCGGGAAAAGTGAAATTCTCTCCTCCGGCTGTGCAGCTGTAATTATCCAATATAGCAGGGAAAGATAATTAGGCTGATAAAAGTATTTTTTACGACGATATCATTTTCTAAAAGCGTACAGTCAGATTTTGTAGATCATAAATCGACATCTGAGTTTAGCCGAAAACTAATTAAATCCTTATCGTATGGCAACTTAAGCGGCTGGCTGAGTGCACTATTGCGATTCTCTGCGAAACTCCTCTAAGTACACTCTTTCAATGTCCTAATGAGACTTCTACTGTATCAACTTTGAACTTCCAGCCGCAACGCTGGGAGAACCTTCCCATGGCTAAGCACTGCTTACTTAACGACACGTGCCCCCACCTTCCCATGGTAAAAAACATAGAATCAAGCTGATTACCATTTGACTATCTGAGATAGCCGTGGTTTGGTAGACTAGCATCTACACTGTGAGATGATTGAAGGCTGGATGAAAATTTGGACCTCGCAGCTTATTTGGTGGAGCATCGGGCCGAAAACCCGGTGGTCGCTGGTTTGAACCTGGCCTTGGTCCAAATTTTCCTCTCACCCTTAACCATCACCCAATATAAATGGAACCAAGTCTTAAACTAGCCGAAAGACATGAGGAATAAATTCTTAATTATCTAATAAACGAAGCACATACAACTAATGGCATATTAAGGAAAAATAGTGCACTGAGAAACATTCATGTGGAAAACAAACCCCTCGCCCCTGCATCCTGCTTTGTCTTTCTTTCTCATTGTTAATAACCCTCTAGCTTTTTAAGTCATCTCGGCTACAAGTGAAATTAAATTCCTAAAGGAAAAAACCTACACTGAAACTACCCGCTTTGGTAGAATGTCATCGCTTCACTCACAACGACCAAGTACAATAATGTACCCTGAACTACAACTTTATAACTATCGAGACTTCTGATTCGCTACGAAAGTGAACAGGGACATATCATACTTACCAACCACACTGTTGCTGGCCATAGAAAGTGGAAAAGTTCCTGGACGTCCACTTGATGCACTCAAATAAGCTTACTACATTTAATGCTGTAGTTGAAAAAAGTAGATATTTAGCATTCAGTTTAATATTCAGTAAGATTGTTAATCTTTTACGATAACTGGTGCAAGAATAAATGACGTCCATTTGTCTGCGCTCGCTAAACAACAGCATAGAACAAACCACATACACTTACTTACGCACTGGCTCTTCATCACCAATAATGAGCGGAACATTACAAGTCTAAGGATGGAAGTAGTAGGTTCAAGCCTACTTTTTTCTCCCCTGGAAATCTTTGTGACACTTAGGCGCAAACCCTAGTCTCTTTGTTACTGCGAAGATAATACTTCAAACCGTGCGTACTATCAACTTGTGCATACTTATTCTGTGTACATCCCACGTTTTATTCGCAGTGCAAACGTCCCAGTAATTAAAATTGCCTTCCCTAAGGCAACATGTAGTTTACATGTAAATTTATTCATGCCTGTAAAAGCGATGTGTCCGCATATTTAGGAGTATATATATATATATATATATATATATATATATATAGTGACATTAAGATGCCTGGCATCACACGGCGGAGCGTTTTGACAGACTTAGGGATGGTTTAGGTTCTGGGGCCGACACCAGCGCATTTTAAACCAAATGGATCCCGTTTTCACCGATAGAATATCCTAGTACCCCACTCTTCCATCCTATCCAGAATCAGTAGACAGCGATGAGAGGTTAGTGTTTGGAGACTCTTCCTGTCTCCTAGTATTACTTAGGTCCTCGAAACGAAGAAAGCCATAACTGGGGGTTGGAAAGGTGCTAAGTGAAATGAAGTGCAGTTCCTATCGGGCTGCTTGTACTAACATTCTTATTTCACCGACAGTTTGACCCACAATTTGCTTGATATCCTCCACTGTTCCGTAAGCACACCTCAAGACCATATTTCCCCCTCAGTATCAGTAGCATATAGAAATCCTAAAGTAATCTTCAATCGAGAAAACATCTGTATCTGAGTGCGCAAACGCTCCAGAAGTTTTGCTGGTTTAACAACTCCTTTCTTCGTCTTACGAAAACATGTGCACAAAATTTTTGAATCGAATGAGGTACTAAAAGGAGCCAAACAAGAATGTAGCCCGATGCGCAAACATTATACGTTGGATCTCGAGCAATGACCCAAGATCTCTCATAAACTTCGCTAGACATATTCCCAGTAGTCTGGTGGCCGATGCCGTCTGTCTCCAAGATCGTCCAAGCAAGGCCTAGGAGCTGATCGGCATTCACTTAGATGTCGCCCTCTGACTTCAGGACGGAGCGAAAACCCTCGTAGGCGTCTCATCAGTGAACGGCAGAAAAGAGGTGGGTAAATGATAGCCCATTAGAGCACCTAAAATGTAGAAGTTTTCCATGCAGACCTGATTCGCTGACCTTAGTGAAGAGGTCTTCAACCTCCAAGTCAGTCTCGGGCCACCACCTGGTGTTCTTCCTTTTACCACAGTATCACCGATCAAGCTTGATCTCAACAATATCTTCCTTGGTCCAAACTTACTTTGGCCAGTACATTATTTGTCCCACTCACCATTGCGTAGTTGCCAACACATCTCTCAAATGCTAAAAGCCATCATTATTATTTCTCCGAAGCTACTGACCTACCTCCAACCGGGGATTCTTAGTTGCCTCAGCTGCCGAGCTGCCCTAGCTTTTATTTCCCTTCTGACGTCCTTTCCCAGAAAACATCTTGGTTCCACACATACATCTGAAGCTCATGCTTCAGTTCATTGGCCAAGCGCTTTCATTATTTGATCTCTCCACCACTGTCATTATAAACCTATCACATCACTCTAAAATGGTAGATCTGAGACACCTACGCGGAGTGCGGTCCTATGCTGAGATGACAATGACTCTCAAGACAAAACTCCAAACTGCACTCGCAGCCAGTTCAGTGTGGAGCAGAGTGCCAATCTCCGGGAGAAGCGATCACCCTCTGTGGTCAGAATACCCACAGCGACTGCACAGATCAGCTCCATTGTGCCACAAAGTTGTTCCAGAGTTGGCAGGAACCAGACCATGCTGCAAAAGAGGAAGTGGCAATCGCAGGAATAGGGTAACCATGAGTAGCTCACCGCAAACTTCAGTCACTTTTCTAAGGAAGGTGGATTGCCCCGTAACACCTGACGACTGAATTATTTGCAGCAAGTTTATATCGGTAGTCAACGAGATAACGACATGTAACTTACGTCAAAAATGGTTACATCATCACCATGACAGCTAATTATCCCAGGCGTTCATGAAGAGGCAACTGTGCAAATGGTTCTAAGAAGCCTACCCGGAATCCAGTAGGCTCCAGTGCTTCAATAGAAGGACGTCTAAGAGCTACTCCCTGCACGTTAAAGTTATCAGCCTCCTCGAAAAAAGTAAATTCATCACAAAGGCATGACACAAGAGAATCCGAAAAAAGGTAATTCTGTGGCCATGCACAAACCGCTGCTCACGAAGGCCACCTAAAGTCGGTCTTCCATGTCCTCAACCCGGACTCAAGCGCATGGAAAAGACGCCATCTGCTGGAATCTCGACAAAACAGCCTAGATGTCCTACATGCTGAGATTGAGAAACAGCCCGAAAAAGTGCACAGCGAAAACTCCAAAATCTCGGGTGTACCACTTTCGACGAACTCAAGTGGCAGAAGGGCCGGCTGATCATACTATTCAGCGTCGCTGTATCGAAAAATTAACCGTTTTTAATGCGGATTGGTCTGATGGTTAGGCTAGGCCAACAACTACAGGCACCAGGACTCTCCTGCCTCCGGACACCGTGTCTCCTTTCTCTAGACGGCTGGGAACTCTGAGACAAGCCGTCATTCTCAGAAGTATCTTTCGGCGCCATGAAAGAAGCCGAAGGCATCCACCTCCACTCACGCTATCCGAAGTCATCAACACCTGAGAGATCTGAGCTGAGTATGACAAACTGTGGTCACTGAGAGAAGGGAGGAGAAAATGTAGTCGGTAATCCAAACAGAAGTACCATGATGTATGTACACGGAATACCAGAACTGCCTATGGCCGCTCTGTTAAAGATTCGTACCCTTATGACGTCCAAAAGTGGCAGCGTCTATCAGATTAAGATGGCCTAGGCAATCTGCTGGCGAATAGTGTCGCAGCTTGCCATCACCTAATGTCCACCTCTACTCCTAGACAACTCACCATGCGGTTCGACTCACATCCCTCCGTCACACTGGCTCCACAAGCGCGAAATAATGGAAAAGACCGCATGAGTGGTACAGTACGCATGTATGGGTAATCCGGTACCTATCGAGCAAGAAGGTAGACGGCAAACACACAGACCTTAAGTCAATGGTTTTCACGCAGGCCTTTGTCAGTGGATCAGGTACATCTAGTTCTGAAGCTTCCGCCACTACAGCCCCCCCCCCGCAATCTGAAAGTGTAGCGCCAAGAAGCGAGGTTGTCCTTTAAGAGCTGGTAATCCCATACAGGAACCCAACTATGCAAGTTCCGTCGTCAAGAAATATGCAACCGGTCCTTTCCTGCCATTCGAACACCCTAATGCGATGTACAGCAAAGTTAGATGACTAAGAGGGAAAGAAGCAGAGACAAGAAAGTCGCACTAATCTTTGCACACTGACATCATATTTGCAAAACAATCCTGACTCCCACAGGACGTTCCTGACAGAGA